TTTAATCAGAAAGAAACTAAATACATTTCTTCTTTTTAGACCCAACCAAATATCGAAGTACCAAGAGATGTTCCTATAAATGAAATCACTTTAACTTAAGCGGCGAGTCTTCAATAAAAAATGCATTGAATCTCTCACACACACAACATACACACACACGCACACACACACACACCCGCACACACACACACACACACACACACACGTTATCCCCCTCTCTACTTCCGAAGCTCCCCCCGCTCAAATTAAACAATATGAGTATGTCTGAAAATTTAGGTAACTTTAGACACAATCAATATTAAACACGAGTAGAACCTAGATAATGCATATAATTGATTATTAGTATTATTGTATACTAAATAAATAATGGTTTACCTTTGTTGATTATCCCGTATAATTAAAAGTTTCGAACGAAAGGTTTTTTTGCCTTGTGGAAAAATTGCATTATATAAATTATTTTCGTTTATAGGATCGCTTGAACCTAATCTGAACCACCTAACCTCGACTAATTTTAATGTTTAACCCCAGTACAAACATAAAAAAATAACGTTAATATTAAACGAAATTTCAAATGCAAACAGCCTAACTGAGAGTTATTCGTTATCGATTAAACTTCACAATGTGCCAGCAGTTCTGAATCACAATTTCAAGGTTAAATTTTCTTCTTTTTGTGCTTCCAGCTTTCTGCCAATCTATTGTTTAAAAAAAAAAAATAATAACGAATAATAAAGTACAATAACTTTAATGATCACACAAAAAACCTACGTGTATTTTACCTATAACAGACAATTTAGTAAGGTCGAATTAAAAATAGCAATCTAAATAATATTAAAACACTTCTCCCTAGTTTTCTTCATTCTTTTATAATTTACCACCCCCTAGAGGTAAAACTTTGTTGAAAGCTCTCGTTAAGGCGCTTCTACTGAACCACTTTTTACAGCGAACAGTTGCAAACTAGAAAATAATCAAGCGAAAGTATGTAGAATGGACGCAGGTTTCGTGGGTATTGTATTTTTGCGAGGAGTCGGTATTTTTCTACGTTTTTTAGACCGTTTCGTTCGTAGAGACCTAGGCAATTACTTTACTTAAGGGTTCTTCAGGTGATTAGTTGAGACTTTATATCTAAATTTTTAAAAATACGAATAGATCGATTTTTTTAAAACGATCGATGTATATGTAAAAAATTTACATGTGACAAATCGTATGACCGATATGAATTCTTCATATTCATATATTAATATAAATCTGAATATAATTTATTTTAAATACTTCACAGTCTAAAATAAATTAAATAATAGATATTTACAAATAGTTTATTTTAAATCCTTCAATTAATAATGAACCACTTGGCTTAAGATCCATAACAATAATACTGTATAATCACCATAATTGTTTATTGACACTTTTGAACAATTTAAAGAATAAAAGATTTTTATAATCAATTTCATAATAATTTTTTAATACTTGAATAAATTTGTTTGAATTATGAATAACTTTAAAAGCAATATATCTCAATATACTATTAATTGTATTGAATCAACGTACTGAATATACAGTTGTAAATTCTCCTTTTTCCAGTTCTTAGATATTTGTGAACTTATAATCAATTCAATATAATTTAAATCTCTTATTATCTAATATTCTCTGTGAAAGAAATAGGAAAATACAGTATATTAAATATTAGAAATATTCAAATAAAAGGTTTTATAAGATAATACATAGATAATTTAGATTATTTATATACTGTATTTAGAATAAGCTATTGATAATAATTTATTAGCAAATAGAAGATCCTATATATTACATTATCATTATATGCATTTTTTTTTTTTAATATTTAATTTAACAATTATACGTAGCATACACAGCATAGCAAAATTTATAATATCAGTATTAATATTTAGTTGAGCCACTATTAACATCATCACATACTTTTACTCAATGAAGTATACTATTAATTACTCTATGATAATATGAAAGTGAAATTGAATATCAAGCAGCTTTAACTTTTTCTTCTAGGTTTTGAATACTTGTAAGATTGTCTAAAAAATTATGCAAACATCTTTTAACCTCTTGTCATATATTTTTAATTGAATTTATATCTGGGCTTTAAGCAGGCTATAGTAATACAGAAATATTAGCATTTTTAAAAACATTTTTAACTTTAAAACATGTGTGAGCAGATGCATTATCTTGTTGAAAGATACCTTGCCTATTAGGAACTAATTGACATACAACTAGAATTGCATGCCTTCTTAAAAGCTTAACATAAGCTTCACTATTCATTCTACCACAGATAGGAATTATTAGTTCTAGCTAATACTATGAAAAATATTCCAAAACATATGACTAGGACTATGTTTTACAATAGAAACAAGATATGATTTATCAAACTCTTCAGTCAAGGTATGCCAAATCTGTGTATTGTAATTTTGTGAAAACTGTTTGAAAACCAATTCATCTAACTAGACTACATTTCGCTATTGATAAGTTGATCAGTTTAGATAATCTTTTGCTCAGGCTTGATGTTTTACCTTATTGTTTGCAGAAATTAATAGCTTGTAACATGCAATACAAGAGTGAAGACTATATTTTTTTAAAGTGTAACAAAGTATTGAAATAGAAACCTTCTGATTTTTTTCTCTTTGTTATAAAGCTTAAATTTTATGAATAGTTAGACAATGATGCATAGTATCTCATATAACAATTTGTTTGAGTTCTTCTAAAGCAGCTTCATTGAAGATAGGTTTTGAATCTAGACATTTTTTTGGTACTGTAGAACCTGTTTCAGTATACTGTTTTAGAGTATCATACACAATAGTTTTATTGCACTTAATATTTTTAGCAATAGTTAATAATGAATCTTTATGCTTATGACTATAAAGAATTTCTCTATACTGAAAGTTAGATAATTTCTTTTTTTTACTATTATGAGGTAATAGAAAATAATAATCAAAATTTCTAATTCTTTTTATACTATAATAGTTTTCTTAAATTTATATCATCATAAATATAAAATTATTATGACATAGTAAGTTTAAACTCTATTAGACTACTATAATTTATTAGACTTTGCTACGATGAGCTAATTTCTATAAAAATTTAACAAAAATTATAGTAGCTAAAATGACTAATAAATTTATTTAATAGACTCTGGAATTATTTGTATTATTTATAGTTTTTAATTAATTTACTAGAGATACAAACATTTTATTAATATTAATTTAGTATGTGAGTAGGTCAAATATTTTTTAATTCAAGTATTTAGAATAAATTATTTATTATTTTTACTATTTAATTTTATTTAGATTTTATCTCTAAAGTAGTCTTTATTTATCTACAGTAAATATTAAAAATAAATTATATTCGGGTTATAAATAATTATTATTTAATATTATACTATAAGTATTAATTTAATATGTGAGTAAAATAAATATTTATTAATACAAATATTTGAAATAAATAATTATTATTGTTAGAGTTTAGTTTATGTAAAGGCTGTGTGAGGCTCAAGTGATAGTGCAAAGCCTCCAATAGGTCAGGCTTCTTAAGATTATAAAATATATAAAAGCACAGGCTGTCTCATTTAATAAAAAAGAGAGAAGTTAATATCCTTCTTAATAAAGTAATATAAAACAATGATCTGCTTTTCCTTTATTCCTAACTATCATTAATGCTTAAATCCTATCTGGTTAAGTGAGATGTCATTGCATCCTAACTATATTAACTATTAGAGCTAAACTGTGCAATGTTCTTCACTCTCCTAATTTATAATAGTAACATTATGAATATTTATTTTTTAATTTAATTTTAGATATAATTATAAAGAAGCCTCTATTGACCTAAGCATTTAAATAATTACATTTTGATTTATAAATAATTACTATTTAATATTATTCTACAGTATTCACTCAAAACAAATCAACTCTTTCCGATGATCCCTCGTACCAATATTTTCACAAAATGCTGACCTACGAATATTATATAGTTAGTTTATTTTTATACAACAAAACTTCGCTGAGTAGCATCTGGATTCAAGGGCTTCAGATTGCATGTGAGCAATATGAAACAGAGTTGAAA